GGTCCAGGTGCACGGAAGCAAGCCAGATTCTATGCCTTAGCTATATAAGGAGTTATTTACCACAGAGAGCACTCGCCATCGGGAAGGCGGAGGGTGGAGGCCGGCGCCATCTTCCAGGTGCAGCTGCACGCAGCTCTCTACAGTTCCCCCTTTTTTATTTTGCAACAGGCAAGAGTAGAGGTCTGATCTCTGTAGAAGAAATTTGGCACATTGTACTGATCCTCACTCAGGTGTTATCCACCTAATGATTACCAGACCCGTCCGATACCCTTTTTCACAGAGGTGGGACTTATGGCATCAACCCACATGCAATCAGACATGCTCTTCTTGGGGCCCACAACCTCGGTGGACCCCAAGTGCAGTGCTCAAACCTTGCATCCTGTGCTCAAACATGGCCAGTCTTAGCAACCCATACATGGGGGGACTGTCCTGCTCCAATAGCTGTAAAGGTTTGGATAATCATGGCTGCACTGCGACGCTGAGAACCTCTAATTTGGCAAATGCACCACAGACATACCAAGGAGGCTAATACCAGGACGCCTGTCAGGGCTCCCAAACCCGCCCACTCCTTAAGATGATTCATGGCAGCGGAGATCCATGAAGATAACCCCTCCGCCAATCCGGCATCCACTCGGGTCGAGTTCACCGTGATGATGGCAACCCTGAGCTGTTCCATCAGGCTGTCGAACTCCCCAGTTCAATTACCTAAAAGATAACTAGACAACTGTTTAGACAAATTTGCAGCGTTTTTTGAATAGGTTTTTTCCTGGGCCTGAACTCCGGGCCTGAGTGCTGTCCCTCAGCTCTTCAGCTCAAGGCTAGCGCTCTACCACCTGAGCCATAGTGCCACTTCCGGCTTTTTTCTTTTTGCTTATGTGGTGCTGAGGAATCGAACCCAGGGCCTCAGGCATGCAAGGCAAGCGCTCTACACACTGAGCCAACTTCCCAGCCCCTCCCAAGCAGCATATCTCTGTCCCAAGCTGGGTTTCCCGCAGCCTCTTCACTAGTAAATTCAATCAAAAAGGCCTTCCAATCTAAATACTGACCTGGGCTCAAACAAGCTCGTGCGAGCCCACTCCAATCACCGGGTGTCATGCAGTGTCTGTTTAGGGCCTCCACCTGGGCCACAGTAAAGGAGGCCGTGATTCTGTATGTCCACACAGACTCAGCTAAAGATTTTATCACCTTAAAATCTAAGGGTTCATGATACCGCTGTCCCTGTGGATCCTGAAATATTGGACAGGCTAGATGTAACTTGGTTCTGACCGCTTTCCACACGTCTGGGCTGAAAGAACAGCCAGAGTTGCCACTTCCGGGGTCCTCCGCATAAGGCGGAGGGGCCGAGGGTGTGGCGCGGAGCATGGAGGGCGTGCATTCGTCTTTATCTGGGTCCTCTCTCTCCTTCTCTTTCCTCCTCTTTCTTATCTTTGTTTTTTCTATTTGTTCTATGAGTGATTGTAGTTCCTCTGAGTCTGTAGACTCAGAGGTCTCTAGTTTGGCAAGATCGGGGTATAACCCCCTCCTGCTCTTCCCCTTTTCACTGCCTGCCCTTTCCGATCTTTCTCCCTGCAGCATTTCTAGGGCGGCCTGACCATTCTCTACCACCTCACTGCAGCGCTGGTCCTCAAGACAGCCTCTTATCAGTTTCCATATTGGTCTCACTCCGTTCTTAAGCATTCCTTGTTCAGAGGCAAAATCTAGGTCCCTCCCTAGTTTCTCCCAAGAGGCCACCGTGAGGCTTCCGGAGACAGCGAACCACGGGGCAACGATGTCACATTCATCCAAAAATCTCTCTAAAGTACTCTTTTTTTATTTTTAACTTCTTTGAGTGCAGTAGCTCATTGAGAGCCAAAAAAAATTGGGTGCGAAGAAGAAGCACCCATGTTTTAAAAATCTTAACCTGGTAAACAATCTTTTACTTTTACTTTTGGCTATTCTATCGAGTAGCCCCGGGTTCTCGCTCTCTCTTTATCTACAGAGAAGAGCAAAAATCCCCCCGCTCTTGTCGCGGATTCCCCCTTTACCTGGGAACTTACCGGTGCACCACCCTGACCGCAGAGAGTTCTGAGTCCTCGTTGAGGTTATGGCTGAGTCCCCGTACGGGCCACCACCTGTCACGACCACCTCGACCAGCAAGGAAGACGCAACACCAAGCTCTTCTTTCCACAGTATATTCAGGACCTTTGAGCAATCTTGACCCCGGGGAGAATCCCCCACAGCCTTAAGTACCCGCTGGGTAGCCAACCCTGATATGCCATGTGAGAGCCATCAGTAGGTCCAGGTGCGAGGAAGCAAGCCAGATTCTATGCCTTAGCCATATAAGGAGTTGTTTACCACAGAGAGCACTCACCATTGGGAAGGCGGAGGGTGGAGGCTGGCGCCATCTTCCAGGTGCGGCTGCACGCAGCTCTCTACAAAGTCAGGGATGGGCTGGATTTCATGGGCAGACAGATGTCCTATTTGCATGTCCTCTGCTATAAAGCAGCTCTGGGGGGAAGTCTAGAGATTGGGCTCCCAAAGCAGAGGTGACTGTGTTGGAGGAGTTTGGTGACAATGGTCACCTTGGAGACATCATGATGCACTGACCACGTGCTGTGGTTCACACTGTACCTGCAGCTCCTTGGGAGCCTGAGGCAGAGTGTGAGAACACTGAGAGCTGTCTGGGGTGCAGAGGGACACACATGTCCTCTCACTCTGCCATTGTGCCTGGTGATCGTTCTGTCAGCATTTCTGATCACACACAAAACACAAAGTGCAACACGCCTGTGACCTCCTTGTGCACTCACAAGAGTGTAAAACAATGGTGAATTGTTTCCACACTGGCAGCATTTCCCATGGTATGAGCTCCATGCCTGGTTTGGGCCTGCATAGCCCAGGAGGGCCCACAGTTCCTGGTGTGTTCCAGGAGAATGGTGCTCATCTGTGAGCTCACAGAGCCTCCTTCCTGAGCCGAGATCAGGTGTGGTTCTACCATACTTTACTTCATTCTTACCACTAACCAAGATGGCCAGGGTTCAGGCATATGCTTGACAGTGGGCTCTGGTGTATCACTTGTCACAGTCTAGCTTTCTTGTTTGTTTATCCTGTTTATATGCGTTTATTTGTAACAATATCATTGGTGTTGTTAATCTCAATAATAATGATCTCGATAAGTCACAATCCATAACAATGTGCTCATAGGTATATAAGTATTTGGTAATTATGGAAAATGCCTTGTGTCTTCTTCAAATTGATTTATCAACCATTTGACAGTTTCCGTGCATCTGTCTTTTTTGTTTTTGTTTTTTTTTGTCGGTCGTGGAGCCTGAACTCTGGGTCTGGGTGCTCTCAGCTCTTTAGCTCAAGGCTAGCGCTCTACAACTTGAGCCACAGCGCCACTTCCGTTTTTTTTTTCTGCTTATGTGGTGCTGAGGAATCGAACCGATTGCCTCATGCATGCAAGGCAAGCGCTCTACCACTGACCCACCTTCCCAGCCATGCATCAGTCTTTCAAGTCATTGGTTACAGTGATTCCTAGTGTTGGACAAGATGGTGAGCTGAACGTGAACAACACTTTTGTCCATGAACAAGAATCCACTGACACAAAGCTGAGCAGATTCTGAGGAAGAGAGGAAAGGAGAAGCGACAGGGAGATCCTGGGGACCCAGGACATGGCAGAGAAGCAGTCAGGGTGGAGAAACTGTGGCACTGAGCTCTGACCTGTGCGGCTCTCCTGCTGGGGAAGAGAGCTGAGCCGTCAGCAGGTGACATCAGGTGTGCTCACAGAGGGACTGGCAGCTCTGCCATGGGACACACGGCTGGGGACCTCGCTGCCACCCCAGGGTCTTGCAGGTGGAGACAGATCTGCTGTGAGAAGCTCTCAGTGTAAAGAGAGGCTGAGGTCGGCAGTGCTGTGAGCCAGGCAGCTGTGGTGGCTGCAGAGGGCAGGATGAAGGCTCCTCGGCCTCTGTGGATGGTCCCCATGACAGGAGACGGCTATACTCGGCTCACCTCCTCATTTAAGCCTGGTTCTTGGGACATCACATTGTCTCTTTGTTTCACTTACATTCATTGGTCTTGTAGGTAAACACATTTCAGTCCCTAGATGAGGATACTCTTGTTCGAGGGATTTTTAGTCCAATTGAGTCTGCATTGTCAGCCATGTTGGAACACCCCCGAGAGACAGTCAGGCCTCCGTTAGACCCCTGGAAACCCCTGGGTGGGAGGGCTTTCCTCTCTGCTCTTGCCTCTGCCCCCTGCTGGGGACTGAGAGCTCAGGTGGTCCTCCATCCCCCTCCATCCTGAGGGTGTAGACAGAGTGGAAATGACCATCAGCAGCTGCCGTGCGCTGTGAAGCAGGAGTGTCCACAGAGTGGACAGCACGGGGGCTGAGGGGAAGAGGAAGGGAGGCCGCTCACCTGAGACAGGTGTGGGCATCAGGGAAGAAGGACACAGGAAGTGGCCGTGCTCCACAGGAAGCTGATGGCTGATCCCATCTCATCCACACACAGGAAGTCCTTCCCTCCCACAGTGCACCAGTGAGCACGTGAGGAAGAGGAAACAAAAGGAAGGCAGGCATGTCCAGAGGGACTGTGGGGTGCTGGGGAAGTGTCCAGAGGGACCCCGGGAATGGGAGGAGGGAGCGTCACAGGACCTGACACCGAGCTCCCACCTAGCTTCTGGGGTGAGATCCAGGGCTGCTGGCCCTGAGCACCTCCGCAGCTCAGGCTCAGGGTCTGGGGGAAAGTCTGTGTCAGGACTCACACTCATATCTCTCCCGGTGTCTCTTGCACAGTAATCCATGGCTGGGTCTGGGTGGTCACTGTGCTTACCTCATGGACATCTGTTTCTTGGCTGTATCCTCTGACACTGTGACTGGAATCCTGAGAGACGGCTGCAGTTGAAGATGTCTCCTGTCCTTCCCAGCAGCTTCCCTGGGACTGTGGGACCCAGCTCCATCAGTAATGACAGCCAGTGCCACCTACATGGTGCAGGCAGGAACAGATACCACGGAGGCTTGGTCAGGCCAGGCTGTGGGTCGCCTGCAGCTGCTGGGACAGGACATCTGAGGACAGAGAACCTCAGTGCCGGGGAGGGGGAGACACGGTGTGTTCTGAGTTCGGATGCAGCGTCCTCACAACATCTTGACCAAATCCCGATGTCCTACATGCAGGAATGGCCATCAAGGAACCAAAGGCCCATGGCCTTCCAGGCCTCAGGAAAATGTGACTCTCAGGAAGTATTTCCAGGGTCTGGAAGAGGCTGCGTGTAAACAAGTCAGTATGAGCCCAGTGTCGCTGGCTCATGCCTGCAAACCCAGGTACTCAGGAGCCTGAGATCGGAGGATTGTGGTTCAAAGCTAGCCCAGACAGGAATGTCCCTGAGACTCTTATCTCCAAAAAACCACCAGAAAACCAGAAGTGTCACTGTGGCTCAAGCCGTAGAGTGGTCTCCTTGAGCTGAAGAGCTGAGGGACAGCGCCCAGACCCAGAGTTCAAACAGCATGACCAAAAAAACCCCAAAACAAAACAAAACAAAAAAAAGAGTGAGCAGCAAGTGCCACGCCGACCCCAGTAGAGTCTGCTTAGCATGGGAAACCATCTATCAGACCATGATAGGGGCTTCGAGACCTACCTCTGAGTTTTGGGACTTCACCGAAGTCTACCTCAGAGAATGGGGCTTTACAGAAACCTATCTCCAAGTTTTGGGACTTCACTGAAGTCTACCTCGGAGAATAGGGCTTCTAAGAGGCCTACTCCTGGGAAAAGGCTGGAAAAACCCCTGGGAAAAGATGTGTTTCTGCCTTTCTTCACTGCATAAGAGTGCCTATTAATCTTTTACTGCTTCTACTGCTCTTTGTACTTGCTCATTGTCAACGTTCCCTTATTCAAAGCTCTTTCTTAAGAGTGTTGACGACTCCAATATCTGATGAGTGTCTTAAAAATATGACTAACTCACCAGAGTTAAGTGCTACCCTGAAACCCCTCTTATGGAGGCTAGGGGACAAGTTATAAGTAAATATAAAAGTATTGGGGGTTTTCACAAAGTCACTTCAGCAGAAGGAATTGTTTGTAAGGGATTTACAAGAAGCTGTAGGCTCAGCTAGAACAGAAAGAATGTATGGCAATTGCTGAGATAATTACTTAGGAGAAAGAATTTCCTGCTATTTACTAAGAGAATTGCTAGACCTAGAGAATTGCTAGATCCAGGTCTCCTTGAGGTTTACTATTAAAGAAGAAACAGGAAAGATCTATTTGGGAAAGTTAAGGCCTCTGTAAAGATAGGTAATGGTTAATTGGTGACAAACATCGCAATCGTTGTATTTCTTAGAGATAAGCCGGAAACAAGCGCCTATCAGGAGATCAGCTGGTGACCACCAAAAAATGAAGCCATGCAGCAAGATTGCCCTTTTGCCCTCTCTCATGAAGACTTCTGTTATAAAAGTTTGCTATCCTCTGCATTAAATCGCACTCAGCATCCACTCCTAATGTGTGTGAGTTGTCTGTTTGCCATCTCCCCACCTATTCCAGGTTCCTCCCTTAGGTATCCTCCGTCGTCCCGACAGAACCCGGTCCGCGGCAAGCAAGTGTCTGCTCTTCCTCCAGGAAGACCAAGGACAGAATGGGGAAGCCCGATGGACTCTGCTCAGGATCTCTGCAGATGGAGAGAAACCAGTGGAATTGGAGAGCAATGTCCTCACCCAGCACAGGAGCCCTTAAGACCCCAGACAGCTCTGTGGGGGACGCTGCATCCTGTGGAGAGGCCAGGCACACAGAGGAGTGAGGGCCTGAGTGCTCCACAGCTGCTCCTGTGACTGCCATGACCTCAGTGTGTGCCCAGCGCCCCCTGCTGGTGCTGAGCGCCCTGCAGGGAGTTTTGTGTCTGGCCCACACTGGATTTCCTGCACTGTGTCTCTAGCACAGTAATAGACGGCCGTGTCCTCCACTCTCAAGCTGTTCATCTGCAGGTAAAATGTGCTCTTGCTGTTGTCTCTGGAGATGGTGAAGCGGCCCTTCACAGAGTCTGTGTAGTATATGCTACTACTATCATAGATGTATGAAATCCACTCCAGCCCCTTCCCTGGAGCCTGGAGGACCCAGCTCATCCAGTAACTACTGAAGTCGAATCCGGAGGCTGCCCAGGAGAGTCTCAGGGACCCCCCAGGCTGCACCAAGCCTCCCCCAGACTCCACCAGCTGCACCTCACACTGCACACCTGCAAACACAGAGAATCCTGGTCAGCAATGGTCACACACATCCACTGTTCCTCCCACTGGTGTCCATTTGCACACTAAGTTTCCCTTGCTCCCCATGAATCACCTTTCAACAGAGCAACAAGGAGAACCCAGCGCAGCCCCAGCTCCATGGTGGTGGTCTGTGCTCAGTCACTGGTGGAATCAGCTCACAGAGCTCAGGTCAGGGCTGGGCTGGTTTTCATGGGCAGAGGGACGGCCTATTTGCATGTCCTCTGCTATAAAGCAGCTCTGGGGGGAAGTCTAGAGATTGGGCTCCCAGAGCAGAGGTGACTGTGCTGGAGGAGGTTGGTGACAATGGTCACCTTGGAGACATCATGACGCACTGACCACGTGCTGTGGTTCACACTGTACCTGCAGCTCCTTGGTAGCCTGAGGCAGAGTGTGAGAACATTGAGAGCTGTCTGGGGTGCAGAGGGACACACATGTCCTCTCACTCTGCCATTGTGCCTGGTGATCGTTCTGTCAGCATTTCTGATCACACACAAAGCACAAAGTACAACACGCGTGTGACTTCCTTGTGCACACGCAAGTGTGTAAAACTATGGTGAATTTGTTTCCACACTGGCAGCGTCTCCCATGGTATGAACTCCATGACTGGTCTGGGCCTGCACATCCAAGGAGGGCCCACAGTTCCTCGTGTGTTCCACGAGAATGGTGCTCATCTATGAGCTCTGCAGAGCCTCCTTCCTTAGCCGAGATCATGTGTGGCTTTGCCGCACTTTACTTCATTCTCATCACAAACCAAGACGGCCAGGATTCAGGCAGATGCTTGATAGTGGGCTCTGGTGTATCAGTTGTCACAGTCTTTGTTGTTTGTTTTTGTCAATCATATATATTGTGTATTTGTGACAATTTCACATGTATATTGTCCTAACTTCAGTGATTTACTACATGTAACATACACTGCTCATAGGTAAACATTGATATGGTAACTGTTGATAAATTATTTTCATGTTCTTTGTATTGTTTTTTCAATCATTTGATTCCTTATTTCATGCAATTTTGTACCCAACTTCCAACCTCTGTCTATCCTGTCCTCCCTCCATCCTTCCTCATTCTCTAGTAACCAACATTTCCTTTTCTGTTCTGTGCAGTCTATTTCTTCTAGACATAATGTGATGCTGGTGTTTCTATGGTTGGTTTTTTCCTTTAAGTTAACTTCTTTTAAGTTATCACAAATGGCAGTCTTTCTTCCTTTCTGTGTGAGTACTGTACCATTGTCCACACCTATCACATTTCCTTTATCTGTTCTTCTCTTGTTGGACCTTTATTTAATCTCAGGCCCTTCCTCAAACTAAATGTGTAAAAAATATCCACAAAACAACTTAAAACTTTGGAGTTTGCATTCTCAGCAAAACTCCTCCCCACACTCTACCAGAAGACCAGCATTTAGATTTTCCATGTTTGTGGTAACAGTCATGCTGACTTAGGTGAGGTGATATTTCACTGTGGGATTGATTTGCATTTCATTGATAGTAGCATATTATCTTGTACTTTAATATTTCTCTTTTTGTTGTCAGTCCTGGGGCTTAAACTCTGGGCTTGGGTGCTGTCCCTGGGGTCTTCAGCTCAAGGCAAGAGTTCTACTGCTTGAGCCACAGTTGCACTTCTGATTTTCTAATGGTTTATTGGAGATCAGAGTCTCACAGACTTTCCTGCCTGAGCTTGCTTTGAACCACGATCCTCAGATCTCAGCCTCCTAAGTAGCTAGGATTAAAAATGAGAGCCACCAGCACCCGGATTATTTATCTTTTTAAAGAACTCTCAGTGCAGGTCTTCTGATCATTATTTCACTGGGTTCTAGATTTGTCTTTTGTTGTTTCCTTGAGACGTTTTTTTCTATGATACACCATGCATAGTAAATCATTTTAGAGACATTATCACTACTATCATTATGACGAAGCTTTACTCTTTTGACATTATTTCATGTTGCTGAAGAGGTGTTTCCCAGCAATCTCTTTGTGCCTTTATGTCTTTATTTTACGCTGTTGCTGTCATATGGAGTAGGAGTGCAGTCACAGGAATGAGAGTGTAGTCTTACGTTTTAACGTCTGACTCTGGCAGCACCAAGTTCACTTCTCTCCCTTCCCTGTGTGTCACTGGTGGACATGGATTAAGGGAGTGCTGGTTCTCCCCTCTCATGCATTCAGTGAGCGGTTCTGACCTACTGTACGTGCAGAGGAGGAGCTCACCTTCCTCTGCCCCAGGCTGAGATGAAAACCCAAGAACCTATCCTTTCTAGGCTCTCCCAAGTGACTTCACAGGTTCCTGAGAGGCTTCTCTGGTCTTTCTGAAATGTCACCAACCCTTTCCTCCCTCTGTATGTAGTGTGTGGGATTATCAGACACGACATCCACACTGAACGTTGGTCAGGTCTCGGTCTTTGCCTGGTACTATATGGATTGTGGCCTTGGCAAGAATGTTGCCACCACGGAATCTGTCCTGAGCTTAGAAGGGTCCTCTGCTCCCACAGATTCATCAGTGATGGAAATGACAGTCTTTCCCTCTTCCCTGTGTGAGTGCATGTGCAGATCATCAGACAGGACATCCACATCCAGTGTTTGTCTTGTCTCTGCCTTGTGTGGCTTTGCAGAGAATCTGTGCTGCAGGAGAGGTTCTGTGGCTGTGGTACCATGGAACTCTGTCCTGAGATCAGTTGCTGACTGTAAGGTCCATTCCTGGACAGGGAACAGACCTTGCCAAGTACCTGCATTACCTAGGCAACTGGGACACCTGGAAGAGGTCACACCTGCATCCCCTGAGGTCACATCTTAATCTGATGTGGCCACACCTTTCTCCCTCCGGATCCCACTTCCCTTTACCTGGACACTCCTTTCTCCACGCCTTACCCTATATAAGGCCTAACCCAGGGCCAGATGCTCTCTTTTGCCAGCTGCGTGGAGGTTCAATCTTGCCTGGTCCCAGCAGGTCTACTGAATATATCTACCCCTTACCTGAATACCACGTGCGTGGTGCAGTTCTTACTCGGCTACCTCTTTTTAAAAAAACTAACATAAATGGCAGCCTGTCTTCGAGCTTTGGCAGCAGCAGCCACCTTAGCACAGGAGAGCACAAAACTCACTTTTGGCCAACCCACTACCATTCTCTCTCCCCACAGACTAAAGGACCTTTGGTCTCATAAATCCCTGTCTTCCCTTTCCCCTTCCCGCCTACAGCTGCTTCATGTTACTTTTATTCAAAACCCTGACTTTTCACTGGAAAGCTGCTCCCGGCTCAATCCAGCTACCTTGCTTCCATCCAATTCTAACCCTCCTTCCCATTCATGTACAGAGACCTTGGAGGAATTCACACCCCATTTTACAGGTATCTCGGAATCTCCTCTTCCTGACCCAGAAGACACCTGGTACATCGATGGCAGTTCCACATCTACCTCTTCAGGAAGGCGAGTTGCGGGCTATGCCATCGTTAATAACTGTACCATTCTTGAAAGCAGCCCTCTGCCCCCTAGCACTACCTCACAAAAGGCAGAACTTATAGCTTTAATTAGGGCCTTAATTTTAGCCAAGGGACAGAAGATTAATATTTATATAGACTCAAAATATGCCTATCATATTCTCCATTTGCATGCAGCAATCTGGAAGGAGCGTGGCTTCCTGACCACCAAAGGGACTCCCATTACTAATGCCTCACTTATTCTTAAGCTATTAGAAGCTGCTTCCCTTCCCCAACAGGTAGCGCTCATTCACTGCAGAGGACACCAGACTGGATTGGATGCCATTACAGTTGGCAATTCAAAAGCAGGCAAAGGTAGCAGCCCAGAGACAACTCCAGAGACAACTTCCAGCTCCTTTGCTTCTGGTATTGCCTTCAATACAACCCTCTTATACCACACAGGAGCTCAAGAAATTTACCCACCAGGGAGCCTCCCAGGAAGCACAGGGATGGTGGTCTCTGGAAGGACGAGTTGTTCTTCCTGAGACACAAGCAGACAGCTTTCTTTCCCAGGTTCACCAGGCGCTGCACATTGGATACAAGCCTCTCTCCCACCTTCTTAAACCTTTAATCCATTGCCCTAGCCTAACTACCCAACTAAAGGCTATTACCCAAGCCTGCCCCACACGTGCTCTTACCTGCTCACAGGGTGGTCTCCGACCAGCTGCATTCCCAAGCACGGGACACACCCCAGGGGAAGACTGGCAGATAGATTTCACTCACATGCCCAGATGTAAGCGGCTGAAGTACCTTCTTTTTCAGGATGGATTGAAGCCTATCCCACAATGTCGGAGACTGCTGACACTGTTGCCTCTGTCCTTATTAAAGAAATTATTCCTAGGTTTGGCTTACCCAGGTCACTTCAATCTGACAAGGGGCCTACTTTCATCTCCAAAGTGACCCAACAGGTGGCATCCTCTCTAAACATCCAGTGGAATCCTCACATTCCTTATAGGCCTCAGTCTTCTGGAAAGGTTGAAAGAGCTAATGCACTCCTCAAAACACAACTTACTAAACTTTCACTAAGCTCCAGCAATCCTAGCCAGAACTGTTACCCCTGGCGCTCACCCGCTTACGTGCTTCTCCCCGCAGCCCTACTTTCCTCAGCCCCTTTGAGTTAATGTATGGAAGACCTTTTCTCCTAGGTAATTTCCCTACTGACAATGCCAAGACTCCACTAATAGACTACCTTCCCATCCTAACCTTTCTTAGGCACATGCTGCGCTAACATGCTGACCAGTGTCTCCCTCAGCCTCATCAAGGCCCCTTTCCCACTCCCCCTGCCTGGTGATCAAGTGTTTCTCAAGAGCCTTAATCCATCTGGTTTACACCCTAAGTGGACAGGCCCTCACCAGTTTCTGCTGACCATGCCCACTGCAGTCAAGCTCAAGGGACAGCCCCAGTGGATTCACCTGTCAAGAATAAAAAGGGCTCCTGCTCCTGCCCCTTCTATACCAACACTGACTTCCAGGTACACCTGTTCCCCCCTTGGGCCTACCAAGGTAAGGCTATCTCGCATCCCTGAACATCCGGGTGAGTAACACTGAGCTAACTGCTCTCCTCTCCACACACCTCACTACCTCATCCCTTAGGTCACCTCCAAGCCATGGATATCCAATCTTTTCAGTAATATATTTCCTTTTCATCTTTGTCCAGCCCACTGCCTGAGAAAACTTCCTCCAAGAGATTCACTTCTTGCAGACATCATGGAACTAGCAGACCTGAAAGCAGGCAGCTTCTCCTACTAGGTTACATCCCAGGCCACCTCTGGTCACATGCCTCCCATCTCCAGTGTGGCCACACCTTTCCCCCACCTGGCCACACCTCTTCCTGTCCCTGGCCTAGATAAGTCCTGGCCCAGAGGTGGTCACCCCTCTTCCTCCCCCCTTTTCCTTTTTCAGCCATGTTTCTCCACCATGCTTGGTGGGGGCAGCTGTTCTGTCAAATTAACTTTTCCTGCCTGAATAGAGCGTGATGTTCTTTTCATCGGCTACCCAATAAAACCTAGAATTTCCTAACCACCCCTTTTTTGTGAACCGAACTGCTTTGAGACACCACGTGAGATTTTTCACCAATACCATTGCTGGCCTTCACATCCACGTCCACACCACTTCTCTACTCTGGTGAGTGAAACTACTCTCTACGGCTCTCTGTTGCTCAGTCTCTGTCCAGACGTGGAGCCATGCCAGAGAGCTCCTACAGCCTTTAGCTGAAAGGCCGGTCACCTCCGAAGCCGAGGACGCTTGGTTTTGGGGGCTTGGCCATTTCTGTCTAGAGGGCTCTGGGGGAAGTCGGGACGCTGCTTCTGCCTGGTCAGCTCTCCTTCACTCACCAGACTGACTCTACATTTAATGGAGTGCTGCAAGTCAGTTTTTCTGCCATTCTCAGTTTTAAACAGTTTTTGCCACTGCAGTGGTAAATGGTCAGAAGTCTGTTTACTTTCAGGCTCTCTTTGCTCTCTCTCTGCCACTCATGTCCAACTTTCCCTATCTCTCGCTTTCTCTTTTCTACATGTTGGCTTGTGCCCTGAAGAGTGCGATGCAGGCTGGGTCCCAGGAACCCCCCTCTAGATTCCCTCTCAAAGGCTAGCCATTCTAGGTTTAAAAATTGTCAGAGTTTCCATTTGTTCAGGTTTCCATCAATGCCTCATGAAACTTCTCCAGACTTCATCGAAGGACTCAGCACCCAAGTGCCAGCTGCTGCCTGCTGCCTTCTCCCAGAGTGGACCACATCTCAGCCTTTTATCCCCACGACGCCCGTTGCCAGCAGGAAGTAGCCAGAGAGAATCTTCGCCCTTTTTCATAATTATCAAAAGGCTGGAATGTAAGGTGCATTCCTGGACAGGGAACAGACCTCGCCCAGTACCTGCATTACCTAGGCAACTGGGACACCTGGAAGAGGTCACACCTGCATCCGCTGAGGTCACATCTTAACCTGATGTGGCCACACCTTTCTCCCACCTGATCCCACTTCCCTTTACCTGGACACACCTTTCCCCACCCCTACCCTGTATAAGGCCTAACCCAGGGCCAGATGCTCTCTTTTGCCAACTGCGTGGAGTGCCAACCTTGCCTGGTCCCAGCAGGTCTACTGAATAAACCCACCCCTTACCTGAATACCAGGTGCATGGTGCAGTTCTTACTTGCCTGCCTCTTTAAAAAAAAACCCTAACACCGACTGTTACACCCACGATGAGCTCACTGCCGGTGCTAAGTTGTGTTGGACCAATTCTGTCCTGAAGCTGGACCCTGGGCCTTGCTGTTCTGTCACTCACCTGCCTTGTGTTCAATAAGAAGGAGCTAAGCCTTCGGGGTTCCTTGGCAGGCAGTGCAGGGGAGATACAATCTCGGGTCCTGGGAGCCCTGTGAGGGGTGGAGGCCCAGACCCCAGGGCCACCTCCTCATCACACCTGCAGCTGACGTGAGCTCAGCGCCCCCTGCTGGCCTAGGCTGCGTGCACGTTTGTGTCTGGGCTCCCAATGGGCTCCTCTCACTGTGTCTCTTGCACAGTAATACAAGGCCATGTCCTCAGTTCTCAGGCTGTTCATTTGCAGGTACAGCACACAAAGTGCAACAAGCCTGTGACCTCTTTGTGCACACACAAGAGTGTAAAACAATGGTGAGTGGGTTTCTACACTGGCAGCATCTCTTGTGGTATGAGCTCCATGCCTGGTCTGGGCTGCACAGCCAAGGAGGGCCCACAGTTCCTAGTGTGTTCCAGGAGAATGGTGCTCATCTGTGAGCTCTGCAGAGCCTCCTTCCTGACCCGAGATCAGGTGTGGCTTTGCCGCACTTTACTTCATTCTGACCACAAACTAGGAAGGCCAGGGTTCAGGCAGATGCTTGAAAGTGGGCTCTGGTGTATCATTTGTTATAATCTATTTTTATCATTCATATGTATTGTGTATTTGCAACAAAATCATGTGTATCATGTACTTGTAATAACCTCAGTGAGTCACACACAGAACAAAACATAGGTAAATGAGTATTTGGTAACTATCAACAAGTGACTTGTGTCTTCTTCAAATTGTTTTATCAACCCTTTGATAGTTTCCTTGCTTCTGTCTTTCAATTGATTGGTTGCAGTGATTCCTAGTGCTGGACAAGATGGTGAGCTGAACGTGAACAACACTTTTGTCCATGAACAAGAATCCACTGACACAAAGATGAGCAGATTCTGAGGAAGAGAGGAAAGGAGAAGTGACAGGGAGTTCCTGGGACCCAGGACATGGCAGAGAAGCAGTCAGGGTGGAGAAACTGTGGCACTGAGCTCTGACCTGTGTGCAGCTCTGCAGCTGGGGAAGAGAGCTGAGCTGTCAGCAGGTACCATCAGGTGTGCTCACAGAGGGACTGGCAGCTCTGCAGTGGGACACATGGTCTGAGGACCTGTTAACTAGCAAAAACCCTGAAATTAAAGAAACGAAAGGAAATCACCAACCCTTGTGTTGGGGGTCTGGATGAGTTGTTAGGCGGTTCATCAATGAGAGAAAGCATCAGGTTCTGACTTTGAGTCCTAGTCATGGATCCAAAAGAGAAAAGGAAATTGAGGCCTGACTCAAATGATAGAAAACCAGCCTTGAGTGAGAAAGCAGAGCGAGAGTGCAAGGTCCCTGTTTGTGCAAAAGTGCACAATAAAAATGCTTATAACACATGAGAGATACCGAGTGTTGGGGGCCAAGCTGGGTCATGTAAAGCAGGCAGGCTGACAGTGAGAATGTAAATGAGAACGTGACTGGAAGTTATACCACGGTCCATGAGCACACAAACACTAGAAATGCTGTAGATTCCAAACTCCAGTAATGTCCCGTGGCACATTTGCTTCTTATCTTCAGTTGCTGTGGCATTGTTTACATCAGCAAGCCAGGAGATTAACCCAGGTGTCCAGGAGAGAAGGAATGGAGAAAGGAAATGTGGTGTCTTTGCAAAACAGGAGATTGTTCATCCATGGAAGGGAGGAAGTCCTGGCATTTGTGACAACATAGATGACTCTGGGGAGTTCACGTGAAGTGTGGTAATGCAGTTC